AGCACGTTTCTGCGTCTCTGAAAAGTTTTTCAGTCAGTAATTTTTAAGAAAAACCTAAACCGTCATGCTCACGCCCCACCGACGACAGGTAAGTGCTGATTTATGTTTTCAGTTATAAACATATTACTTTGTCTATGCTCAGAATTATGGATCAGGACTTTAGTTAAGATGCTCGAATCAGGTTCAGACTTTAGAGTTTGGATATGACTCTAGAATTCAGGGCATTCAGATGACTCTAGAAATTAGTATCTTCCGATACGACTCTAGAGTTCCTCAGGATTCACGTCAGTAATTATCGGCCATTTTTGGCAACTCGTCAAGAGATCTGTGTGCCTTAGTAATCAGTCAGAATGTTATCATGTGTTCAATAATGTTTAACTTTCTCAATATTCAGATGCCGCCACGTAGGGAACCCCATCATCAGGCTCCTACTCAGGCTACTGTAGTCGCTCAGTTCCGCGACTACCACGCTGAAAAGTTCTAAGGGCAAGGAGATCCCCGCATCGTAGATGAATGGATTCAGGGCCTGGAGTTTATCTTTGAGGTCATGGACTGCCCCGATAGATATCGTGTAATCTGCGCTCAGCTTCAGCTCACTGGTGATGCTAGGCTCTGGTGGAATGCCTACTGGAGCATGCGTCCCGGTGAGAAAGCGGGATGTACGTGGGACATGCTCAAGGAGCTAGTCCGCAAAAAGTACTACCCCTCCTATTATCGGGCAGAGATGGAGCGTCAGTTCTTAGCGCTCCAGCAGGGCACTCGTACAGTTGATTAGTACGAGAGAGAGTTCACTAGACTTGCAGGTTTCGTACCGGACCTGGTTCGCACGGAGGCTCAGAGAGCGCATCGGTTCATCGACGGGCTTTACCCAGCAGTCCGTCATAACATCGTGGGGCACGGGACTCAGACCTACGCACGTGCAGTTTCTATCGCCCAGGAGGTGGACGCTAGCATCAGGAGGGAGGTCGTCCGTGATCGTGCCCAGCCATCCGCCCCAGTGCAGCCATTCGCAGCTACACCAGCTCTACCAGCTGCTCAGCCGGCAAAGGAGAAGAAGAGGAAGGGGAAGGGTGCACAGACTGACCGGAGGACCCGACAGAGACAGCAGCAGGTTCCGCCGTGCCCGACTTGCGGACGACTTCATCAGGGAGAGTGCCACATGGGTCAGGATATCTGCTACTACAGCCACGAACCTGGACACTTTGCGAGTCGCTGTCCGAAGAGACTTCAGCAGCAACCTCAGCAGCCTCCGCAGCAACCACAGCAGCAGCAGCCACGTCAGCAGGCACAGAGGCCGCCTCAGCAGCAGCAGCAGAGGGGCAGACAGCAGGCCCGGGTTTATGCGGTTGATCAGGCAGAGGCAGCACAGCAGCCAGGTACTATGTCAGGGATGGTTGTGCTTAATGATATTCCTGTTTTCGCTTTGTTCGATACTGGAGCAACACATTCATTCATTTCACGACGATGTCTTGATGCCATCGAAGTTCATGCCGTTACCGCTGTCGATCCTCTTGAGGTGAGTTTAGCCTCGGGACGAAAGATAGTGACCTCAGCTAAAGCCTCAGATCTTAGCCTTTCCATCGGTGGCCGAGTATTGTCTACCGACGCGTTTATTCTCGAGATGAGGGATTTTGACCTTATTCTCGGAATGGATTGGCTATCCTCCTATCATGCAGACATCAGGTGTCATGACCGGGAGATCACTCACTATCTTTCGGGAGACGAGTCGATCACCTTTTTCGGTTCCAGGAATCGTTCACTGCCTCATGTTGTTTCGATGGCGAAAGCCACTAAGCTACTGCGACGAGGCAACTGCCAGGGTTATCTGGTGAGCCTTGTCGACGAATCTCAGAAAGCACGCTCACCTCATGATGTTCCAATTGTTTGCGAGTTCGTGGACGTGTTCCCAGACGAGCTTCCAGGAGGACCGCCTAACCGGCAGGTGGAGTTCTCTATCGATCTTATTCCAGGGGCCGGTCCAGTATCCAAAGCCCCGTATCGTATGGAGCCTAAGGAGTTGCAGGAGCTTAAGGCGCAGATTCAGGAGCTTTTACGACTCGGTTTCATCCGGTCGAGTGTCTCAC